GCTGTGAGGCTTCGGGCTGATCGTGGGTCGATGTTGTGTATTGGTGAGGCATTCGCAACCACAACGTCCTACACACAGAACGCACACCCTGGCTTGTAGTCAATACATGCTATTTCGAGGAAGGGTCTTAATCTATGTAAGAAGGGCCAAATGTAAATAAGCGGCTGGACTCTGGGATAGTTACGCTCACCAAAGTGCAATGCCACACATGAATGCAATCATATGTAATTGCCCTTGTACACATTTGACCGGTTCATATTACCACATATACATATTTAAAAGTGGCTAAAAATAGTTTACATATATTGGCATAAAAACGCATGAAATTTCCACTGAAAATCTGAACTGATTTCAATGAAACAAGTTGAGTATTGAGAGATATATTGTCGACTGACGTACTGAATCGGTGTCCTCATCGTCACTCTCTGTTGCCGCGGCAACGGCACCCTGCATCGCCAGCATCGGCTGTCCCATCTTTGCCATGCGCTGTATCCAGGGTTCGGATTTTGGCTGAAAATCTAATGGACAGCAGGACCACCAACTTCAGAAAGTTGGTGGTCCTGCACAAAAGTTGGTGGTCCGCTTATTTACTAGCAGTGAGTAACAAAATAGTATACAAAAATAACCATTGACATCAACAGCATACATGTAACTTAGGCTGCCAGGGTCTATGTCCCCCTGGGTACTGCCGGAACGTACCCTGGCACTATCTAATATGCCAGACCGTACTTCGCCTACTCCACTAACGAGTCTAGGAAGTCGCCTACGCCTACTCCCTAACCCTAATCCTAATTAACCTTAACCCTAACCCTAACCATATTAGATAGTTACCATATGGTACGTTCCGGTATACCGGACCGTACCCAGGGCACGTTCCGGCAGTACCCTGGGAGACATAGACGTACCATATGAGCTCAAGTGGCTAAAGTTTGCACAAAGTGACATCTAAATAGTAGGTACGCTGACAGGTAATGTGACAAAATGATATTATATACATAGAAATGTTCACTTTACGTTTCTAAGTAATAATGAGTTTAAACAATATGCTTTACATGCAAGCAACACAATATTTTCTTGTCCCAGGTAAGCTAACGAGCACCTTTATCAGCTCCACGTCAAAGATCAGAGTTAAGTTAAGTTAAGTTTTAAGTGGAGTTTGGATCGATGTACTAGATAAAACGCCCCGTTTTTCTCCAAATTCCCTATACCGAGTACTGTAGAATATGTGGTCAGATCTGCGTTTGCGCATGCATATATTACTCTATCTGCGAAAATAAATATCATTTTGTTGAAAGCATATACACGCATAAAGAAAGGGTTTGGCGTAATCTGACATGAAAATCCCTATTTCTACTAGAATAGCTTCCTTGTTATAATTAAGGCGCCCTTGTCTTCTCAATTTCGCCTATACATCTTGTATCTTCTTGTATCTTGGCTTCCTCTCTTGTATTTCACAAGGCACTCGATTCATTAAATTGCGGGGATTATCTAGAGAAAAAAAAGATTAGTTCTAATTCTCTAAATATTAGTGTTTCGAATCACCAGAATTTTCCGCACGTAATCTAACTCTGGTTTCAATAACCCGTGGTTGTCCCGGCCCTCTCCAGCCGTCTATTTGTTCACCATCCTTATATCTATTATAGCTATCACTTTTATATAAATGTTCCAAGTCCTCTTTCATATTCTTATTACATCGATTACACCTGTCGTCATTGAAGTTATTTCTAAAGTAACCTTTGAGCTCAATCATGCAAGTTTTACATTTAAATGCAAAACACGAGTCGGCAAATTATAATTCTTTCATATATTCCTTCAATCCGTATGTTTCAATGTTTATCATCTTGGAATGCCTCATCTTAGTGGAGTAGGCGAGGTACGGTCCGGCATATTAGATACCAGCAGTATGGTGGCCTAGGACTGCCATAAGGAAAATTTAAAAAAAGTAAAAAAATAAAAAAATAAAATAAAATGAAAATGAAATGAAAATGAAATGAAA